AACAATCTCCTATTACTACTCTTCAGACAACAGAAAGCTCTTTTCCTGGTTCCACTGGCTAGAGAGATGGGTCATCTCTTACATTTCTAGGGGCCTATGTTGCCATAGCTGTCACCAGGCAGTGACTGGGGCTAGCCACCCTCAGGGCAGGGCCAGAAGAAAAACAGAAAAAAAACGTAACACCACAATACAGTGAAGAGATTTCCTACCTATTTCTTACTCTCTAGCATTCAGGATTCCTTTATCCCTAGTCCACTGACTATAAATAAGAAATTTCTCTCAGAATTTTACTGTCTACCCTAGCTGGGCAGTTTTGATTTGGCCCACCCTCAGATCAAAATCAGGAGACAAAGAAGTAAAAAAAAAAAAAGGCCTGTGAAACTCACTCATGTTGTGAGTCATTATTCACGTTTTTACTTTAATTCTTAATCTCCCTATTCCTGTTCACTTTCGAATCTTTGAGTAGTTGCTTTTTATATTCTGTCTAGAATTTTTCATTGTAATCTGTGATAGAGAGGTTATAGTCATCTTATTCCATCTTGGCTGCACTCAGAAAGCCATAAACAATATTTAATAGCTGAATAATGCTGCATGACACTAGTGAGCCATAATGTAGTAAATATTTCCCGTAGTGTTGGATATTTAGGTCATTTGAAATTTTTACTATTAAAAATCATTGAACATCTCTCTTTACATTATGTTAATTACTTTTTTGCTGAGGTCAGAAATAACAGCCTACTACACTTTTTGCATCAGTATTTACTAAAACTTTTTACATTCAGGTTGTCTCCATCCATTAATTATGAAGAATCCAGAGCCAAATGCATACATATGTACATACAAGATTCAGTTTGGATAAAGTTCTCTATGCCTGCCACATAGAAAATAACTATTTAGGACTATTAAAAGTAAACATAAAATTATGTATCTAGATAAGTAAATAGATAACTACGTCTGGCTTTGACTAAGCCAGTTAGCAGACATATAGAAATTACTTATGAGTAAGGCTCTAAAATTTTTTGATTTGGTTACTAATGAGATTTAAATATCCTTCCCTCAAATTTGAGGAAGCTCTTAAATCTGGATACCTGTCTACGAATGAGCTAACTTTCCTTACAAAGTGAATATTGTATTATGCATGACTTTTTTTATGATACATCAAGTCACTATGATCTAGGAATCTAATTACATTTTTAAAAAATGGTTTCTCATCTGAGTTATTTTATTTTACCATAAGAGTATCTTGTTAATTAGTTTCTGTATCACATAATGCATGCACATGTTGCTGTTGGTTGTTAAAAGGAATATAGGAGAAATATTTCCCTTTTCATTGTCTTTAATAAAGCATCTGTGGCTCTACATGGATACTGTGTTTGAATAACAGCCCCTTGAACAATGATGTGCCTCCCTCCTTCACCAATTACCAGAGTCGTTGGGGGTTTGGGAGCTAAACATTGGAAAAGGGTACTTTACACCCCATGTAGAGTGCTCCAGGGGTATGTTCTAGAGAAATAAGTATTTGAAGAATAGAAAATGTACTTCACGTGATCCTCATTATAAAATCAGATTGTCATAATTTTGATAAAAATACATTTTGTTGTTTACATCTTTTCTGGCTTATCTGTGGTTCTATTTCTGATTTGAATTATTTTATACTCATGATAAAGAATCAATAGCAATTCAAAGATTCTTTTTGTTAGGCTATATCCCAAAGAGTAGGGAAAGATCTTTACTTCATGTCATCAGGGGATACCACAATTAAAGGTAACTTGTGTTTTTAAAACAAAATAGTTTTATCACCCAGAATTACAATCTCTTAAAAATACTGTTATGCTGAATCCCTCAAACAAAAATGGTTTATCAATTTCTCTGGACATAGGTAGCAGGGAAGAAAAACCACTTTAGGTAAAAAAAGTTTGAATATACTTATGGGAATAAATAACCAAAATGAGGATTTCTTGAAATATAGGAAATTTGTTCATTGATCTTGAAAGTTAAATTATGAATGTGATAAATTCACATTTTAAAGAATTTTATCTGTTAATTAACTCATATGTTCAAATGATCTTTGTTAAATAATCTCTTGGAATTTTTGAATCTTTAGTTTATATAAGATTCAAATTATTGGTTGGTTCTTGGTATTGCACATTCTTGTTCATAAATAATGCAATGTTCTTAGAAATGAGGCACGTTGAGAATAAAATCAGCTCATGATAGCTTTAATATCATGTGAAAAATATATATTAATCAAAAAGGACAAAGAACTAATTATCAGCCTTGTTCACACCATTCTAGCAAAATATAAAATATGCCAATTTCATAATTTTTAAGAGAAACTTGATTTGATGGTACAGTGTGAGAACCAAAATATTAATAATAAAATAAAACATTATTTCTATGGAAATAATGCCCTGTAGTAACTAGAATACTCATCTGTCCCCCCTCCCTTTTAGAGAACATTACATTTGTCATGGTAACACCCGTGGAAATAAATTTTTTTGTTTGTATGTTTCTTTCTCAGTTTGAAGTTTTTCTCTTTTTGTTTCAGAAAAGGGGTTTGGAGGTGATGGAGATTTAATTGTGGATCTATAGCTGTGGCCAATCAGTCAGAAGCTGCCCTCGAACAAGTGGCATCTTACCCAGACCGACAGAATATTTGAGAAAATTGAAAACATGTAACCACAGGAAGTTGTTATTTTCAAAAACTTTTATATAGGTGGAAAACAAAATAGGTCTCAGTGACAGTGGAGTGTATTTATAGTGATACGGTTGTATATACGGATCTGGGATCCTTCCTCTTTGTTGTCTTATGTTTCTAATTAGTTGGAAGGATTTATTTTGCTAAACAGTTCGCTAACACATTACATTTCAAAAAACTATTTTGGTACCTTTCAAATACAGTGTTTACATTAAAATAGAAAAATAAAGGCTCATGACAAGTACATTATTTGATTCTACTTAGGATAGCTTTTTAGCAGGATCTCCTTCAGAATTTTTGTCTTGATTTTGAATCTTTGCCTGTTTGTCTAAACATTTGACTAACATTCTGTTTGAATTTGGAATTATTCTAATACAAGATTTGAATAAAGTTTATCCTTAAATAAAGTTTATCCTTAATATGATGGTCTCAGTTTATTAAAAAGGAAATAGAACTCTTAAATATACTTGGTTCCATCTCTCCTCTATAATAATGGAGGATTGGGGAAAGCATAGTAATATTAAATGTTAGTTCTTATGTATTAGTCACTTAGCTTGTATTTTAAATGCATTTTTTCACTTTAATCATCAACTTTGAAGTGCATATCAATATTATCCATATTTTATAGGTGAGAAAATTGAAGCTTCATAGAGAGGTTAAATAACTTGCCTAAGGTCAGATAGCTAATGAGTCTCAGAGGCTTGATCAAGCCCAGACCTACCTAACTTTAAAGCCCATGACTTTTTAAACATGATTTTGCAAAGTATAGATCTTAGCTTTTGGAAACAGATCTTAGCTGTATGCTGCTTAACAGATATGTGAAATAGGCAAATTATGTAATATTTTGAGATTTGATCTTCTCCATCTGTAAAGTGGTGATGATAAAACCTTTCTTGTAGTGTTTTTTAAGATTAGAAATAATTTATATAAAGTCCCTGAAAAGGTGTAGGCATTTGGTAATTGTTTCTTTTCCCTGAAAAATACTCAGTGTGCACTATGTTAGGTTATTTCTTTTTAACCTTAACTTATAAGATATTTTCAATAGTTATTTTCTCCTTTCAGCATCAGCATGCACCACCAACAAAAGAGATTGTAAGAAAAAAAAAAAAAGTGTTGAATGGCACATCCATACAGTTGGAATGTTTATTTCTAAAATGAATGGGGAAAAAAGGTTTGCTAAATGAGACTGAGGTAAAGGTGTATCTCTGTGAAGCATTATCAAACTCTGAAGCCTAATGGAAATAGAATTATGAACCTTAAAAACCAGGTATAATTTCAGTAAGTAGAAGGGAGAGAGGTTTGTATTAAAAGTAATTGAGGTAGATGAGTATATTACTTACTCCTGGAATAATGAATAGACAAGTTTGGCTTACTCATATAGACAATATAATGTGAATTGTCAGGAGCAAAGCTCAGAGAAGATGTGTTGGGGTCAGATTATAGAAAGCCTTCAGTTTCAAGCTGAGTTTAACTCCCTATTTTAAAAAATTTAATCTGAATGGCTACAGAGGTAAAATTTCTCAGAATTAGTGACTTTGCACCTGACGCCACTAAGATAGGACTAGGGTACCAAATGAGTGGTAAAAATTTTTATATCCCTTGGGAAATAAAATCATTTTCCATGATTCCCATATTTATAAGTGTATAAATTCTTAAGCTATATTTTTACCTTCATTTAATTGTGTTACTCTGTTTTACTACTACATATAGAATTGAAAACATAAAATTAATTGGAATATGAAGAAGCTAAATGTAATTCTGAATGTTTAATTATCCTTCACAGCCTTTGTTTGAGTAACTAATGTATTTTAACTAGAATCCCTGCTATATGCTGTAATACCTATGGAACCTTTCTTTAGTAAGTAGAATGCCTTAAAGAATTAAAGAAAATGCCAAAAATTACCAATTTTCTCTAATCCACTGCCTTTGCCTCATCTCTAATATTCTTAACTCTTCTCCACTCCTCATTTAATCATCATTTGAATTTGTGTAGTACCACCAATCCTGTGCTAAAACAATGGGCTTTTGCTTGTTCTAATTTTTCTTACCATGACCAAAAGTCAAAGAAAAGTGCTGCCAAATTCTACCTAGAATATCGTGTTGCTAAAATTAAACTCTACCACCCATAGTAGATAATAAAAAGCAAGAAATTCTGTTTTTACTGTATGTTTAGAGGGTCTTGTATCATTGCAACAGGTTTTCACTGGCATTTTGCCTGTTTTAATCTACTTGTCTGTCAAAGTAATGTAAAAGCATGTTTTAACTTCGACACTAAAAAGGAAACACCTTTGTAAAATTAAAATTTAGGCTGATATGAACGTTGTATGCTGTATTCTTTCTTTACATCTAAATGGAAAAAATTCTTAGTCCAAGCTTCAATCACAATTACAGTATAGCCTATATTTTAAAATATGAGTCCTTTGGGAAAATACATTAAAAATCTCTCTCTCTCTCTGCCTCTCTCTCTGTCTCTCTCTCTCTCTCTCTCACAGACACACACACACACAGACATAATTTTAGGCAGTTTTGAAGCAAGACTTTTAAAACTGTTTTAATCCTAATTCTAATTCTCTATTCCTGAAGAGCTCTGTAACACGATGTGTTGATTGGTTGTATTAATGTTGGTCCCCGGGATAAGATTCTCATCATCTCCTTCAATCAAGCAGTCCCACTGATCAAAATCTTTATGAAGTCCTGTAAAATATAAAGTGTTAATGAACATGTTAAACTTTTGAGAGCATTAAACAGTTTGGTGCCCCTAGGTGGCAATACAGATTTACAAATTACCCAAGTTGCATTAGGATGGTAGAGACAATGCTCTGTTTCAGCTGCCCCACGGCTGCTTTAGCAGCTGAATGCAAGGGATAGGAGTGAGGCAACCTGCTGTCAGTATCCTCAACATGGAAGTCCACTCTAGGCTTCATACAAAGACTATTAGCTTTAACAGTTGGGTTTGCTTTCTATAATATATATGATGTAAAGCAGCAAAATTGACTCAAATTTCTGTTTTCAAATTGATTTACTGCTTTGTTCCATTGTAAACCAACTGGAAATAGTTTAAATGGTACTTAAGCTGTATTAAGATAGACAGGTTTGTCCTGAGATTCATCTGGTTTATTTCATGAAAAAATATTAGTTTCTTACCTAAATGCTTTTGTAAGAATGCTAATGAAGCTTTGTTGCTAAGATCAATCGCTACATCTGAATCTATATCTCCCTTTAATTTGAGCATGCGTCCAATTATCTTGCCAGTTGCAAAAGTGAAGTCAGCAAAATTCTGATGGACTGAACCCCTAAAAGAAAACAAGACATTTAAAAGTCACATTGGTTGATAAAATTATTATTTTTTTAGTTAAGGTGTAAGAAAGATATGGGTCTTGTTGGTCTGTTTACTGAAAACCAAGGAAGAAATAAAACTTGTAATTTGATCTACTTAAATGTATTTCAAGGGTCACAGGCTGTTTGTTTAGGGATCCCAGAGTATATTCATCTTCCCTCTAGAAAAACAAAGAATCTTGGTCTTGCTTGGTATCTTGATTTTAGAAGAAATGACTCTTGCTTTTTAGTGAATTGGAATACTTCCAATTTGTGTGTTGAGGGTCCCTGAACTCACAGCCAGAGCCTGCCACCTGCTCTCACCACTGAACATGGTATGTATTTGATGCTAGTCACTTTAAATTTAAATCACTTTAGATTTAAGCCTTAGAGGAAATAGATTTCAAACAACACCTTTCCCAGTTTTAAACTGTAAGCACTTTATAAATATCATTTGCACTGCTCTCTACATTCATCAATAGCCTAATGTCAAATAGAATGGCCTTTTTTTAGTCCTTATTTTCTACCACCACTGGGACATTTGACACTTGATGGCTTTCTTGCACTTTTTTTCTTTTCACTTCCTTAACGTTGCACCTTCCCTTCTGACACTAACCACTCTATGTTCTTCACTGGCTCTTCACCCATTTCCCATTGGCTGAAAGTAGGCATTCCTTACGATTCTATTGCCAGACCAATTCTTTTCTCACTTTGCAATCTCTTCTACTTCAAATGTTTCATCTATGTTATCATGTAAGTTATGTAATCATCCAGTTTGTGGCTAGACATCTATAAACAGATTCCCCCGTGCTCAAGCTAAGAAATTGTGAAGTTAAAAGACATCTTCCCAGCCCCACCCAAAGCTACTCTGCCTCTTGACTCTGCTGGTTCTTATAAGCAAACCATCATTCTCTTAGTTTTCTAAGCTCAAAATAGGGCCACTTAACTCCCTCTCACTCTTCCCCACATTGTAGTAGGAAACTCGAATGTCAGAAACATAAAGAAGATAAACGGCAGGATCACAAGAGAATTGCGAGCAGAAGCTTGGATGCTCTGGCTGTGGAGAACTGGCTGGAGGAGGAGAAATGGAAGGAGCAGTATTAATGACAGGAGAAGCAGTAAAGAGGAGGGTCATAGTAAACAAGGGAGCAGGAAGAGGGGTGGTCAGCAATGTTGAACAGATGCAGAGAGCAAGGTTGAGATTCTGAAGAGGCTGCTGGTGTGGCATGCAGCAGGCCTTTAGTGTCTTTGTTTTGGCATGCCGGTGGGGGCCCAGGAAGCTAGACCATAAGACTCAAAGAGTGAGTAGAAGTAAGCACATGCAATAACTAATATTTGTTATTCTTTGACGGTTTCTAGCAGAGAAGGGAAGAAAGAAAAGGTGAGAGCCTAGCAAGGAAGTAGGGTTGAGGGAGGGTTAGGTGCTCTGTATTATTTCCGTTTTAGAATTAGAGAGACTTGCACATACACATAAGCTAAATGAAGTCCTTGCCTGAAATACCTAAACCCTTCCTTACTATCTAAACTCTCTTGATCGAAACAAAATCCAATTTTAGTGTCATCTATGAATCCTTTTCCGTTGGAAGAGACCCCTCTATTCTCTGAGCCCATAGTGGTTATTGCCTATACTCTGTATGTTTCCTTCTTGCCTCTTCTCTGCTCCTAAATAAACCAGATTTCAGATAGGAAAGGGCTGAGTTCAGGTCCATCTTTGCTTTGTAATATCTCATGGAGAGTTCAAAACCTTATCAGGAGTTCTTTTTCACCTCCAGGATACAAGAATTGCCAACACTTGATGGTACCCCATTATAGCTTTGGGGAATTTATAAACTCATATTCTTCCTTAACAGGTAAGTATATTGCAGGTCTCAATAGATAATCTGACTTTTTCTTTAAAGAGTTCCTAGCCCAGCCTAATGATGAAATACTTCCCCCTAGCTCTACCCCCAAAAATCTGTAGGCATGTTCTGATGTTTAGATTAAAGTAGTATATAGTATTATGCTAATTTTAAAAATTACCAGTGATATAGTTTAGATCTGTGTCTCCACCAAATCATATGTCAAATTAGAATCCCCAGTGTCAGAGGTAGGGACTGGTGGGAAGTGATTGGATCATGGGAGCAGTTTCTCATGGTTTCATACCATCCCCCTTGGTGCTGTCATTGTGACAGTGAGTTCTTGTGAGACCTGGTTATTTAAAAGTGTGTAGTACCGTCACCCATCCCTCTCCTCCTCCTGCTCTGGCTATGTGAAGTGTTCATGCCCCCGTTGCCTTCCGACATAATCGCAAGTTTCCTGAGGCCTCCCCAGAAGCCGAGCAGATGCCAGCATCATGCTTACTGCACAGGCTGTGGAACTGTGAGCCAATTAAATCTCTTTTCTTTATAAATTACCCAGTCTCAGGTATTTCTATATAGTAATGCAAGAACAGACGAATATAACCAGTATATATACTATATACATTAACATTCCCATTTTAAAAAGAGTAAGACTAAATGTTCTTAGAAACTGAGATTATCTAATTCTCTCCTTAATGAAAGTCTAAACAACCAATTCAGCAATTCTGTAATGGTTACCCAATGAATCTATTGTTATTTACCCAAGCTTCAAGTTTGTTTCAGATAATGAAATAAGCCACTAATACTTACCTAATTGTAATCATCTTTCTTTCTTTATCAGGTGAGTAGCATTTTTTCATTTTTATGATATTAGCAGGATATTGGAAATATTCAGAGTTGATAAAAAAGAGGGGCTGAGGAATTCTGGAATATACTTCATCACCCAGTGGAAGCATCCATGCATCAAGGGCAATACCACATCTGTAGATATTTGTTGACAATGATGAAATTAAACTGGTTACATACTAGGCAACATTGAGAACATCCTAATAATGCTAGGATTGGTGGACATGCACCATACCAGTTTATTATGGGTTATCTCATTGGAATAAAGAGGTATTATGCTTCAATGTGGGAAAGGGATATGATTAGCTTTGTAAAGTATCAGACCTGGAATTATGTATAATCATTTTCTTTATATGCCTTTTAGGAATTGCAACCATTTGAGTGATATATCCTTAACAATTTTTATTCAAAATAAATTTTAAAATACATAATAATTTCTTCAACACTGTGGAGTATCTGAAAAAGTATAATAAATGCACCTTTGTTTTCAGAGCTTTTATGCACCTTGTAGTGTATTTATGATAGCTTTTTCAGAGTAGCAACTGGCCCATTACTTTACATTTAGAGGCACTTCAGCTGAAAAACTGTCAGAGGGTTGAAGAAAAACACATGGAGCATATCATTTGAAAATGGAACTAATTTCCTTTTTAAAAATAAGTTTATCCTACGTTTCCTGATCTTTTGCTAAATGGATGAAAGAAGAGAATTCTCTTACACTGAAATGAACTTCTAAGAAATTTGGGGCAAAGTTTCACAAATGATCCTGCCCACTGTCTGTACAGTTGGCCCTATGTGATCTCATCAGTCTGGAATGAAGTAGTTTAAGAAAGAAAATGTTCCTGCAAGCTAGAAAACTGGGGTCTGGTCCCCACTCCTACCCAAATAATCGTAATTTTAGATCCAGGTCCATCTTAAAGGTGGATGGGGGAAAAGCCTAATTAAAAAATGTCCTGCCTACTGGAGAAGTCTGGCAATACTTTAAGATGACAATATTATTATCACAACCATTATGTCCCAAAAAATTATATAAAGATAAATTTTTAAGTGAAAAGTGTTAAGCCCTTGGGTAGACAAGAATAATGAGGGAAAACATGGGAGTAAGGGGAGATTTTAATAGCAGGAGAAGTAGATGTTTTAGCCTAGGAAAATGTATATAGAGTACTTGATGGGGGCAAAAGAATAGCCTTATAAACTCCAAGAGATCCCTTCTTCACTAAGAATTTGAATAAAAAATTATATCTTACATGAGTTATCACTCCCCCTCTTCCAGTAATTTACTATTCTCTTGCTTTACTATCTTATTTTCTTACCTGAATCTCTGATCTTCACTAAGAGTCTGAATAACCGTTGCTCCACCAAAAGAATGTCCAATTACTGCTATTTTTTCCCTATCGATAGAGTCCTATGTGAAAAAGCATGATATAAATTTATAATTATCTCGTGGTGTTAGAAGAAATGATTTTGTCAATTATGTAATTGTTCATCTCATGGGGATGGTTAAATATCTTGATTTCTTATAAAATAGAATATACATATACACACATACATTTATACATACCATACACCCATATACATATATACATACACATATAAAACACATTTACACACACATATATATATATAATATATGTAAAGGTTTGAAAGTAAACTTAATGGTCTTTGTAGTCACCCACACTGGAAATTTCAACATCAGTTCTGACTTCTGCCTCTCCTCACCCCATGTTTATTTGTTTTTTTCTTTCCATGAGTATTTATTGAGTACCTACTCTGTGCCAGGCACTGCAGTCTCATTTCAGTGAGCTTGCAGTCCATCAGGGAAGAAAGTTATACAGACGCATGGTGCAATACTGTACAGTGGTACAAAGGAGCACACAAGACAGACAGCAAGCCCGGTCCAGAAGTGGGCATTGGGGTCCAAGAAAGCTTCTGAGAGGAGGTGATGCTTAACTGGAGTTTTGAAATTAAGTAGGAGTTAGGCAAGGGGAAGAGTGTGTCAGGCCAAGGGGACAACATGTGCAAAGGCAAGGATACAGAGGAGAGTGGCTGTTTGAGGCACAACAAATTTCTTCATTGTATCTGGAGAACAGACCGTCATCTTCTTCTCTAGTTCCCCCTAATCCCTGCACTCTCTATGCCACACACACTTTTGAGTCTTTGCTCATTGCTGCCCACTCTGTCTGATATTTTTCCACCCACTCCCAAACTTGTGTCAAGTTTTCAAGGTCAAGCTTAAAAACTAGCAGGAGCTGTCCATGAAATAATAACACTTCCACGGGAGTTAAGTTGAACCATATGATATTGCTGTTTTTGTAGATCAAAACTGACTAACTTTTGGCAATTTCATATCTAGTCCAAGATAATGCATTCTTAATTGCTGCAATACTTTACCTGTACTGCTTTGTGTGTGTATGTGTGTGTGTGTGTGTGTGTGTGTGTGTGTGTGTGTGTGCTGCGGAGGGAGGTGGTTGCAGCCCTTTATGTTGTACCTTGCAATATAGCAGAAAATGAGATGACAAAAAACAATAAAGAACTGTAGGACAAGAGAAAAATTACTTCTTTTTTTTAGCTTACCTTTAGTTGTTCCATATCAAACTTTAAATCTAATGCGTTCTTCACTGGCTTTCCATGATCAATGTCAAGAATCAAATTGAGAGCTTGGGAACATTCTTTTGCTCTTTGTCGTACCTAATATAATTATTAGAAGGAAATGACAAAGTAAAAAGTTAAAACACTTATTTTAAAGTTTGTGTAGAAGCTGTATGTGGGAAAAATCGTTGGTCAGTTATAAACTGGAAATGTGATTAGTGATTATTACATGCTACCATAATGACACAGGCCCTAGCTTTGCACATAGGTATAGCTTAGTCCAAATCCTGGCTCTGTTGCTTACCTACTATGTGACTTGAGATGACCTACTTAACCTCTCTGAGTTTCCATTGATTGTACAATAATGCCTACCTAAAGGAAATGTGGGTGGGCTCAAATGTAATAACATATGTAAAACACCCACTATAAAGAGGAAGCCAATATGCTTCACTTAATTGCCCTAATAGCTCTGTAAGACAGACAATGTTTTATTCATTATGTTATAACAAAATTAAGTGGTGGAGCCAGGATTCAAACATAGAAAGTTGGGTTCTAAGGACCATACTCTTAATTCTATTGTATACTGCCTCTCTGAAAAGTAGTCCTTTTATATTGCCTGTGAGGAAGAATCTATGAATTTATTTTCTAGCACTTTTTAGATTCTAAAATTAGAAGTTTTAATTCAGGGGACTTCTGAATAGTCACTGTCATCTCCCACATTTTTGTATTTGCCTTTGTTTTCACTATGAACGAGATATTCCATTAAGGGAATTTTACTACTCCGGGAATCTATTGACAAGTCTTTTGAGAATGGGAAATAGGAGAGCTAGAAGCATAACTTGCTATATCTAAAATTAAATTAACAAATGTCATCCTTTTGTACATGCTTTTAGGTCACCATCCACCTCTCCTTTCATTGCAAGGTACCTGCTTATTTCGTATATGTATCTCCTCCTCTTCTTTCAGGGTTCTAAGGTAGAGCCAAGACTTTTTCCCTATTTCTGCAGCAGATTGGTTCTTGAAATAGTATGTTGCAGATGCAGATCTATCTCTAAAATACAAGTAAAATTATTATTTATGCATGCTCCTTCCTTTCCTCATCTGGCCCATGTTTCTCAGTTCCATCCTTGACTCAACTTCCTCTGATCTTTTGACGTCCCTCTCTTCTTCCACTCTATACTTTCTCTTAAATTAAAGAAGACCCTAAAGGAGTTCCAGGAAAAAAAACCTTATTGTCTATTGTCAAGTTGCAGGTTTTTAAACTTTTGGGTTTAACTAAACTTTTATGAAAATTAGAAACAAAATTATGAGCATTCTATCTTCCTAATTCTGGGAGGCAATATTAGCCATGTTGAAACTCACTCTCAGGAATCAAATCCCAGCACTGCCACTTATTAGTTGTGTGACTTTGGGCAAATTACCCTTTATCACTTCTATATACCCCTTCCTTAAAACAACAACAATAATAATAACCATCTCATAGGATTGTTATGAAGACTGAATGAGATGGTGTATAAAAAACATTTTGCATAGAACACGGCAGGCAATAAACCCTCTAGAAATGTTGGGTGTTTTTAAGTCTTTTAAGTCGACAAACTCAATCTCCTTTTTTGCTCATCATGTTATCATACTTGAAAGTTCCATCAACATTTTAAATAAACTTTTATGAAAATTAGAAACATAATTATGAGCACTGACATTCCCTGTAGTTGGCCAAAGAGCCCAATTACATCAGGTAACATACCTGTGTTCTACAGCAGCAACTATAAACCCATGAGATGCCAGGTCAATGCCAATAGCAGAATAAATTGTCCTTCAAAACAAAAAGAAGGACGCATTACAACTACCAGTCATGATTACAAGGCTGAGTCCACTAATAAAACTGGGAACATGGAGGCCGTTACATCCCATAGTAGTGCCCTGGGGTGGGGTGGAGTGGAGAGCTACGGTTCTTAAAGGAGGGTGATTTTGTTCCTTAGGGGATATTTGACAATGTCTGGAGGTATTTTCATTATCACGAATGTGGGCAAGGGTACTACTGATGTCTAGTGGGTAAAAGGATGCTGTCAAACATCCTACAATGCACAGGGAAACCCTTCACAACAAGAAATTATCTGGTCCAAAATGTCAAGACTACTGAAGTTGAGAAAACCCAGTGTAGTGATTATAAATACTGCCTTTGAGAGTTGTGGGTTTTTAATCTTGGCTCTGCCCCTTCCCAGCTATATGATTTTAGGTAATTACGGCATGTTTGTCCTCGCCTGTAAAATGGGCCTAAGAGTAAAGCATTTGTTTTAGGGTAGCTGCAAGGTTTTGCTAAGATAATGTATACAGGAAAGCACTACAGTATGGTAGATACGAGAATGAGACCTGCAGTCTGACCACTGTCTTTGAACCCTGGTTCTACCACTTGTCAGCTGTGTACCTTTAATAAGTCACAATATTTTCTCTGCCTTGGTTCTTTATCTATAAAATGGTGATGCTATAATAGTATGGTACCTCATTAGTGAGGATCAATTGAATTAATACATTTTCAGTACTTATAATCATATTAGAAACAGGTAAATACTTAATACATGTTAGCTATTATTAAATGATTGGGTGAAATACTTGAAAAATCATGTGCTAAGCACTGCATTTATGCCCTCTTCCACAGCTTCATTTGCACAACCTTTTCCCCATACCATGCGTCCAATGGGAAATGTCCACAGAGAATAAAAACGAGGTAGCTAGAAACTATGTCTTTATTGCTGAAGATACAGAACCTTTTCAAGAGGGGGAAATGATATGGCACAGGGATTAGCAAACTTCTTCTGCTGAAGGCCAGAGAGTAAATATTTCCAGCTTTGTGGGCCATACAGTCTTTGTCACCACTACTGAACTCTGCTGTTGTAGGACAAAAGTAGCCATAGACAGTGTACAAAAATGAATGGGTGTGGCTGTGTTCTAATAAAACTTTATAGAAATAGGCAGTGGGCTGGATTTGGCCCTTGGGTTCTAATTTGCCAATCACTAGTGTAGGAGAAATCAAATAGCTAGCTGAACTACATTTAAAATGCTGAAGAGAATTCTTTATTGCAGGTGCTACCCAACTCGTTCCCAGCTAAAAGCCATCTCTCTTATTTTCTGAGTTTTACAATCCCCTGAGGTAGAAGAGGGGCAACAGGTGATAAAGTGGTGGAAGAAAGTGAAGAGGGTGGTTGTTGTCAGGAAAATGTGCCACTCAGCTATCATGCTACAGACTTCATAGCTTACTAAAGACCCTATCCAGCTCCTGCCCCTCTGGATCCATCACCATGGTCAAGTGGAAGCTAAGCATCCAGTGAGCTGCTCCCAGAGACTTGGCACAGCATGGGTGCTAACATTAACCCATTCCTATGAGATACAAGACTCTTGATAAGCAAATTTGGCCAAGCACTCCTTCCATTGACCTGGCTCAATATTTCTTAGAACCATGCTGCAGTCTGAAGCTCTTCTTATCCGATCCTTCTCCCTTCCCCATCACCTTTTCAGGTGTCCAACCTGTGTCATGGTCCAAAGTTTATCCCCATCTCTTCCTGCTCCTTCTCTCACCTTCACAGATATTTCTCTTAACAAATGTCTTTCACGGCTAATCTAAAATTGGTTTTTCAAAAGTCCTAAACTTTACAGAGGATAATTTTAAGAGTGTAAATATTACAATATAGAAGGACAACTATAAAAAATGCAACACCCTTTCTTCTCTGCTGTGAGGCTAATCTCAATGAGCTGGTAGTAGGGAAAAAAACTACTTGACCAGACAGGGCTAGGACTGATCAACAGACCCACAGCCAATTATTGAGGAACCTCAACTCCTCCAGACAAGGGCCTGCATGACATTCCAAAATCTGCTATTTCTTTTTTGAATAAAAGAAATTATCATTTATTCCTGGAAGCTAAAAGTGTTCAGCCTCTCAAAGATTACCTGAATGCTCCAAGACCATGAGAAAAAACAACAAGTGGGTATTTTTCACCAGGCCTCAGAGGGGAATTCCAGTTTGCAGGAGTTGTCACTGAACCTACACAACAATGGGAGATTATAGTTAGTGTTTTCTCTGAGTGTTGCTAGTGAATTTAATTCACATCTCATTAGCATAAAATGCAGACCCATCTGATTTATATCTACTTTTTTATGGATGAATAATAGTAGATTCATTAAAAAGACTGCTACTAGATACCCACCAACCAAAGACCCGAACTGTAAGTTTTTTTTTTTGTTTTTTTTTGAGACAGAGTTTTGCTCTTGTTGCCCAGGCTGGAGTGCAGTGGCACAATCTCAGCTCACTACAACCTCCGCCTCCTGGGTTCAAGTCATTCTCCTGCCTCAGCCTCCCGATTAGCTGAGATTACAGGCATGCGCCACCACACCCAGCTAATTTTGTATTTTTAGTAGAGACGGAGTTTCTCCATGTTGGTCAGGCTGGTCGTGAACTCCGGACCTCAGGTGATCTGCCCACCTTAGCCTCCCAAAGTGCTGGGATTACAGGCACAAGCCACCGCATCCGGCGTAAGTTCTTTCCTCAGACCACAGGATTATTAACGATGAGTGGTCACTGACAGCTCTGGACTTAAGGTGAGAGATTTTCACAGGTGTATTCATAAAAGCTGCTACTTATTGCCATTCCCAGGTTTTGGAAAAATTTCAAAGGGAATGTTCTGAAACCAAACTACCCATAAAACCTCACATATATTACACTGAGAGCTAGAATCTAAGAAACAGAGATGCTGTTCATTATGATTTTGTCATAATCATGCAGCAAAAGGTAGAGAAACCACTGACTTCATACTGAGTCATGGATGCAGCTCTGCCACTTCCTAGCTATGGATCTTGGGCAAGTTCCTCAAACTTTCTGTGCTTCAGATTCCTCTTGGGTAAACTTGAGAAAATGATATCTCTTTCATAGGGGTTTTGTGAGAATTTTATTTAATTAGGTAATATATGTAAAGTACCTACCCATCACATAGTAAGGGGCTCAAAAACGGATACACTGTCTTCTTGCACTTCTCAATTTTTATTATCACCATTATTATCAGCAATCATTTGTGTTTCATTTTCTCGTCTATAAAATGCAGATGTGGTCACAAAGACTGAATGTGACGATTGCCATGGAAGCGATTTATAAGTTATTTTGCAATATAAATATGCAGAGTTATGGTATTTTCATGTCTGTTATAAGTGGTTTTTAAGACAATTAGAAGCTGATGTTTAAGATGAATCCCAAAAGTTGTAGATAGTTTTGTGGGAGAAATGTGGAGACACAGTTAACATCAGCTCAACAGTCGTGTCTAGTCAAACAGGTAAGGAAGAAAAGTCTACATTAATGTAATGTAGACAGTAAGTGAAGAATGCACATCAGATGGTCTTAGTAATGGGGGTAGGTGATGGGAATGAGAGTAGAGTCTCTTCATTTATGACAAGTAAGGCATTAGCTTTGACTCCTTTGTTTTGGATCTGGAGAGTTTGGTGGCTTCTACTTTCTTTCCCTTTTTGTCTAACTTAGCACAGAACATGCAGGATAGTGGCCACACCAAAGAACCTGCTATTCTCACCACGGTATTGCCTTCTCCTTGGTATGTCAGATGAACACTAAAGAGCAGCCATAGAAAGATGTCAGAGTCAGTCTGATACTCTCGGCCACTCCCATCCAACTCAGAATGGACAAAATGAGAACCCTTTATTCTGTCATAGTTGCCTGGGCTTTAAAAAAATAATTTCCTTATCATTTTCGGAGCTGTTGGGAGTGGAGAAAAATCTACTCTGGTCTTAACTGCTTGAAATTATTGTTGTTTTCAAGGTTTTCTTATATGCAAGCCTACAGAGGACCAACAGAAATCTTACCAAAGAGTAAACTCAAGATGTTGCCCATAAGCCAGTGTTTTCCAAGATACTTGCTAAGACCCCAAAAATACTCCTTATTTGGGATCCAAAGGGTGTCAAGGCGATCATCATCTTGGGATGGATAATATAATCGCAAGAAGGTGCCCTGTTAAGAAAGAAATTAATGCACTTTTAGAGAAGTTGTGTCTCAAACACATTCGAGCAGCTATTTTGCATATTTAATTAGTGGGGACCCAAATACCTCTGTGTTCACAAAGAGGTCTAGAGAACTTTTTAGGCTGCTGTGGTGATTGAAGACAGTCATGAAAGAGAAACAGAAAAACAATGTTCTCCCTCAGTGAAAGGAAAATATAAGCAGCCTGGCTTCAGGTATTTTATGAAGTGAAAAATAGGGTTTATAGGGAAATTAATCAGACAATAGCAGTGAATTGGGGAATAGCTAAACTAGTAAAAGCCTTCATATGAAACAATACAAATTGCAAAATGAGTCATTCTTAGGTGAGGGCAAGGTGACATTTGAACACCTTCCAGTGGTACATAGCAACAGACAATATTAGAGTATCAGGATAAGTTGTATAAATCAAGCATTACCTTTTTAGTGTGATCAAACATTAAGTCTGTACAACCAACGGAATAAGGCCCATTTCCCTTAGGGATTTTAGCTTCGCCAAAGCTTGCAGCAGCCATCAGTACTTGTATTTTGTTGACCCACGCTGAAAAACAGGTATATATTATCTCATTTGTCATCCATTACACATCAGATTTTATTATGCAAAGGAATTCCAATGGAATCAAATTACTTCCCATAGTTTCTGGCCTTCTTCCTTTCTCAACCTAACAAGTAAAATATGCAATTATTGAGGGTCTGCTCTGTTCAAAACACTGTGTAGGGCTTTTGGAGTGTAAAGAGATGAAAGTAGACATAGCCCTTCTCCCAAGCTACCTTGGACTGTTACCTCCTAATGTTTGCAGCCTTGCCCTCTCATTCTACTTCTATCCAGAGTATATTAAAGATGACTTCACAATCTGTTTTTCCTAAGCATGAACTTTATCTCACATTTCAGATTTGTGCCTACAAGTTCTCCTTAAGCATCTCTACCTGATGTCCTTCCCATAAGAATGTCAAAGCCATTTAGTTTCCAAAATGAAAATAAATGACCATCTTTCAACTCCCCCTTCTCATCTTCCAGCCACACCGCCTACAACTCAAGAACTCCTCATCTCCTGCACTACAAGTCAGAAGCCTGGGAATCATCCTACGCTCCTACCTCTTTCCCACCAACCCGCTACATTCAACCAAGCTTCTATTTTTTTTTTTTTTTTTTTTTGAGATGGAGTCTTGCCCTGTTGCCAGGCTGGAGTGCAGTGGTGCAATCTTAGATCACCACAACCTCCGATTCCCTGGTTCAAGCGATTCTCCTGCCTCAGCCTCTTGAGTAGCTGGGATTACAGGCATAGGCACGCACCACCATGCCCAGCTAATTTTTGTATTTTTAGTAGAGATGGGGTTTCACCATCTTGGCCAGAATGGTCTTGATCTCCTGACCTCGTGATCCACCTGCCTCAGCCTCCCAAAGTGCTAGGATTACAGGTGTGAGCCACTGCACCTAGCCCCAAGCCTCTATTGCTAACATTAGCTTTTAGCTTAGAATGATCTCCACAATATATCGCTGACCCTCTAGTTCAACTGTCTCATTTATGCCCTCACTGTCTCTTGATCAGACTGTTGCTCTCTCTCCTAACTGTTCTACCCACTTTGGATCTTGACCCCTTCAAACACATCCTTTACACAGCTCCTGGAGGGATTTAAAGCACAAATCACACCAGACAATTCTTAAAATCCTTCAATGGCTTCCTAACAGCAAGTATTCTTTCCTTGAAGGGGGAATGTATTGTAATCTTTTTGGAAGGCAGTTTGTATGAGGAATTTAAACCTCCACATGCTTTCCTAAGCAAATACACAGCTACTTGCAAAAATGTGGCCTATCCTTCCAGTGCTCTGGCATTGAAACATACTGAGGTTCACAGGTGCACAAGTTAAATCCCAAGTTTCTGGGCACTGCAAACCCTCCACTGGAGGCCCATTGCCTCGTACTCTTCTTCTGCCTCTTCCCGTTAAGTTATCCCCCTTCCTTGTGCTACAGTACTCCTGAGTGACACACTGGGCTGATTTGACGCCTCTGCACCTTTGTAAATGCTACTGCCTATGCTTAAATCCCCTTGGCAAACTCCTATTCAAACTTCAATACCTTGGTCAGATATCCTGTCTTCTCTGAAGTCTTCCCTGATTCCCCAGACAGACTTAATCATTCCAACCTCAGTATTATATAGATTCTATGTGCCTGTGTTTACACACATGTAATCATTCTTCCTATCACATATTAAAATAATGTGTCTACATTCTACACTAGGCTATTTCTCCAGAGTCACATCCATGTCTTTGCATCCTCTGATCTTAACACAGTGTCTGGCACATAGTCAGTGCTCAATAAATACTTGTGAAAATGAGCTTAGTTAACTTGAACAGCCACTGGTCTTTCTTGTTTTCCTTTAAACCCTTTATCATATGCAGTATTTTACTCACCCGCTCCTACAACTCCTTTTCTCTCTCTGGTGCAATCCTTCCACACACCTGCAGCTTCATCTGTTCTCCTTTCCAAACCCCAATCAAATCCATATTTAATTCCAAGATGTTGAATCCATACATCAGTATATTCAGACTCTCACTTTTCTTGACATATTCAGCTTGTCCACCCATTCCTTCCATTGGATGGTGAGAGTTGATTACTCTCTGCTAGCCAGCTATCAAGAGCTATGTTAGGTAAGGCATCTGCATCAATACCATGGAACACTGCCCAGAAAGGTTTTGAGTCATGGGAAGAAACCAATTTACAGCCTCCACACTGGTGACTCATGTGTGAAACACCTGCCCATCATGAAGCCTTTCAATACATAAGGCTCGGCTACTCAAAGCTGATCCATGGACCAGCATCACTGGCACCACATGGAGCTTGGAATCGCAGGCTCCTGGACTTCACCACAGTTCTACTGAATCAGAAAAGAAGTGCCCATTAAAGTTTAAGGGACACTGGGCTGAAGTTCCAGACCACCTGACCTGACACACTGCTCAGCAATCCATGGTCAAATGGTAGGAGGTAGTTTCAAGAAAGACAAGGGGAGAGGGGGTTGAGATGGACAAACCCTGGGAATTGGAGGGACATGGTTCTATTTCAGATTTCAGGTGTACCTCTTATAAGCTATAATCCTCTGGCCTAGGCAATTTGCTCCCCTTTCTGATCCACATTCGTAAAATGACATAAAACACTTGACCAGCCCACAGGACAGTTGTAAAGATGAGGTGAGAATGTAGGTCAAGTTCTTAGGACAAAACATGACACATAATAAGCAGACAACTAATGCTGTTTACTCCTTCCCCAGAGTTCATTTACTCTTGCTAGCTAAATCTGTGCTGAGTCCTTAGGGAAGTTTTAGCAGGTCTAATCTTCCCCCAGGTAGATTCAAACCCCAGAAACCTTTTTTTTTTTAAACTTTACCTGTAAGGTGAACTTTCAGGGTCTATTTAGAATTACAAAAGGTTCTTCTTCTTCCATTAAAAGAGTATCTACTGAGCCATGCTTCTGGTGTAACAGGGAGATGTGAAGTCCCAAGGAGGAGGACCTTAGGGCAGGGACATCTGCCTTTTCTTCTGTGGTGAGCAGCCTGGCGCTACTGCGCCCCCACCCCTAGGCAGGCATGGTGCGCCTGTGCAGGGCTTGGGGCAGGGAGACCTCTGGCTCGCACAACTCACTAAGGAGCCCCAGAGTCACAGCTGCTGTTGGAGACACTAACCTTTAGAATTAGAGGCTCAGTTCTGGAAGCATGGGAGGGTTTCACCCAACACAAGCCTCCATTTGTGAGATCTCAATTCCAAAGGACCAGGGAACCTTTTCCAATAAGTTAGGAGTGCCCTGGTTGTCCAACACCTGTTCTCTCTGAGAAGGTTCCTCACTCAGCATTCAGGAGCATTCATGTCAAGGTGAGGCTATAAGTCTGCCTGTTTCAGAACACCTGATCCCTGAGAAGACCTCAGGAATCGTCAGGCTGACCCAGGTTTTGGTATAGGTCTATGGGGTCCTGTGCACCAGTACCAGGGTGCCTGGGGGTGGCAGTGGAACAGGCTCCATAGCCTGCAGCTGACCTGGTTATGGGCCTGGATTTCCCATTCTCTAACCATCTGTCAGGAGTCATCATTAAGGAATTGGAAGGAGGAAACTCATCAGATCAAATGACCACTCACACGGTTTTGTGGTTTAGAATTTATAAATGTCTCTTCTTAGTTTTCTTCAACTTTATTTTAATAGGAGGATTGGAACCTATGGTATGCTATTAATTTTATTACATATTTTTGGTGGTGTTCATTTGTCAAATATTCCTGATGTTCAGTCTTGGGTTTGGAGATGAACTGTAAACATGCTAGGAAAATTACCCTCTTATATGGCTTTAGGTCCTCCGTTAGCAAAGAGGATATCTCTAGCCCATTCTTAGAAACCTTTTTACCTGCATAGCCATATTTTCTGTGTATTCATTTAGTAAGAAATTATGAAGAATCACCTATTATTTTAATTTTATTTAATAAACTATTTCTAATACTTTAAACCAATATGTATGCATTCATTTTGTTTGTTTGTTTTTGGACAGAGTCTCACTCTGTAGCCCAGGCTGGAGTGCAGTGGTGAAATCTCGGCTCACTGCAACCTCCTCCTCCTGGGTTCAAGCAATTCTCCTGCTTCACCCTCCCAAGTAACTAGGACTACAGGTGTGCACCACCACACCCAGCTAATTTTATGTTTTTGTTTTGTTTTGTTTTGTTTTTTAATATAGATGGTGTTTCGCCATGTTGGCCAGGCTGGTTTTGAACTCCTGACCTCAAGTGATCCATCCACCTTGGCCTCCCAAAGTGCTGGGATTACAGGCGTGAGCCACCATGCCTGGCCTGCATTCATCTGGGCACTGCATGTGGCTCAATGCTGGGACTATAAAGATAAATAAAGCAATGTCCCTGTCCTCAAGTTTCTGTCAGTCCAGTGACAGCTTTCCAATGATTTTTAAAGATAAAGGGAATTAAAATTTGTTTAAATTTTTATCCTGTACCAATAAAAAGTGAATGATATAAATGTTTCCTGGATGATGATTTTCCCACTATATAAGATATTACCTGTTCTCAATCCACAGAAAAGGTAATAGGAAAAATGAACTTAATGTCATCTAGGATGCAGGACCCTTGAATTTGGCTATAAATTTATTATCTTAGTCACTAGTGTATCCTTGATGACTTAACTTCCTGATGTGTTGTAGGATGAATGGACCTGCGAGATATTATTCTATTTCCTATGCAAATGTAGATATAAGATATAGGACCTCTCCTAATGCATTCATTTTCCTGGTTATGTAGTAGGGCAGAATTTAAGGTACTGAGTTATGAAAGCTCTTTTGCAAATTCTATAGTAAGGAGTCACCCATCAAGCTTGAACAACTAGATCCAGAGTGACCCACAACTACCCAGGTGCACAGCTCTGTAGGTATAGTCACTATGACGCCATTCAGAAGCCACCTACACTGCTTTCCATAGGAGACTGGGAAGAGAAGTTTATGCATCACAACCCTCTGGGATGAGCAGGAATTTGCAAAGCTTCAGAAACAATCTCTTTGCAATTAAGGTCCCTCGTAATGACATTAAATGTAGCTGTCTAAAGATGGCTGTCCTGTTTTGGCCCCTCCTCCTCTTAGGTTTGTCTAAGCTTTCCTCCGCTTTCTTTCCCCTCTTACCACAAGGCAAGAAAGAATCAGTGATCACATCCATTCTCATCTGGAACTCCCTAGCACCTCCCTTGTTCCTACTTCTCTCTATTATTAGGTAGGAAAGATTGTTTTCCTTTGGATCCCAAGACCTGAAATTGTTATCTCACATGACTTTCCACTATTAACCAGGACTAGGCCTGTTGAACAAGACACCTGCTTCTTCTCCACCTCATGGAAGCACGTTTTGAGGCTGCCTTGGACTGGACTCCAGAGCCGTTGCATTACTATGCTTGTGTGGGCATACGTTAGGGCAGTTGGAGAGAGAAGGGGTGGCATTAAGGAGGTTCTCCGTGGTGATTGCAAGCTGAGCTTCCAGTGTATCTTAAAATATCCCATCCTGGTTCTGTCCTGCAGTCCTGACACTGAAGAACACAGGCGCTTCTTCAATTTCCATTGAAATGAGGAAAAAGTGAGAACCTCTCCCCGACTCCAGCAGAATGCAGGATCTCCATAAGCATTTAAATAGGACTTGTTTAGATGTGCAGATGTGCAACTTCTTGGGGCCCACTTGAAGTATGGCAACAGATCAGTTGCTCAAGACCTTGAACAAATATGCCTCTTACCTGATGATTTCATATGGGCAACAGGATTTAGGTATTGCCAGTCAAAAGGATGAACCACAGCAAGGCAGCCGCAGAGGCAGAAAAGCACACACAATTTGGGTGGCACCATCTTGGGAGCTGAGCAGCAGTTTCAGCTTAGTCTTCTTTAAAGCAGATGATTAAAAGAAAAAAAAAACATGCAATGAAGAGGCCTTAAATAGGCTGACAAATCAAGAGAGGCTGAGGTACTAGTAACACTTGGAAAAAATAAAACGTGTATTTTCTGGGCTGGGTTTTAGACTGGCACTAGAATAGTAAAATCCTTGGTAATGTAGGATTACCATTACCTACATTACCAAGGATTACATTGGATTGTAGAGCACAGAAATAATACTTTCAGACAGTTAGATTAAGTTTTTGGTCACTAGTTTTCTAACTTGATAACAGTATAGTCAGCAATAAAAATAGCCAACAAAATATAACAAAGATAACAACCATCTATCATCATCATCATCATAACATCCATAGGTATGTCTAGCACATAGTAAACAGTTGATGAATTTTGGCTATTGCCATCATTTAATTATACAGTGGTTATATTTCTGCTGCGGTGGTTGTTTTGGGTGTTAATATGATGTTATATTCTTGGTAATTTCTATAATCCTACTATGATACAAGTTTCCAAAAAGCAGATGTCAGGTCTTATTTGTTGTCCCAGTGCCTAATAGAGGGCCTGGAAAGAAGTGGTATTGCATAGATGCTTGTCGAATCAGCAAATGAAACAACAGAATATGAGCTGCGTGGTAATAATAAATTATATTACAATTAGGCTGTATGCTAACATCTTATTAGCAAAAACTATCTTGCATTTGTGCACCCATTTTCCCTTCTAAAATTTGGCCTTCAACTTTTGTGGGGGATAGAAAAGGTCCAAGCCACCACTATCTCTCATCTAAAATTTGCCATCACCTCTAACAGGTCTCCTTGCTTTTGCCCTTGACCCTATAATCTATCCCCAACACAGCAGCCAGAGTGATTGTGTCACCCTTCTGCACAAAACCCCCAAATGGTGTCATATGTTACAGGGCAGAAGCCATTCACCCAAAATAGCATATAAGGCTCTATATAGCCTTTACTGAACACACTCCCAATCCTTCCACTATCCCCTCTTGGACACTTGCTGCAATCACACTTGCTTCCTTGCCATTCACCAAACATGCCAAGTACTCCACACCCACCCTCCATCCCCCGCTTGAGGGCTTTGAATATCTTCCCTTTTGTGGGATCCTCTTTGCTCTGACACCCAAATGACTGGTCCTCTCACTTCCGGGTTTTTGTTCCAGCGATACTTTCTCAGTGACACTTTCCTGGATCAATCAATTTAAAATTGCAATCTAACCTCCTTCTTCACACCAATACATTCCCTATTTCCCTCCCTACTTTATTTTTCTCCAAGATTTATCACCAACTAACACGCTTTGTATGTTATTTGTTAGCTGTGTATCCACCTTCCACTAAAAACTTAGTTCCGTGAGTGGAAGGATTTTTTATGGTTTTTCCCCCTGCTGTATTCCCAAGACCTAGAATAGTACCTGGTATACAGAGGCACTCAATAAATGCCTGCTGAGTGAATAAATCTAGCACATCTGGTTAGTAATACAAACTGAGCCAAGTTTAATGATCTGGTGTCCCACGGACACTAATGAAGCACTCGTTAGTATAGCTATTTTGTGGGCAGATGTAATATAGATGTGTGGCACAGACAATGAGTGCCCCTGAACATCTATGTGCATCTCTACATTTCTTAGCGCCCCCTGTGGTTGGGCTGGGCCCGTGGGACTCATTCCTGAGAAACAGAAATTTGAACAGAAGTGGTCTGAAACAGAGTCACTGTATCTCCTTCATGCCTTACTTTCCCTGACACAGCAAACTTAGAAATCACGTGCTGACATAGTGCAGTCTTGAAGTGAAAGAAGCCTGGATGCCTAGTCACTAAACACAGAAGAGCCCCTGCCAATTCAAATGATCTTTCACAAACAGGAAATAAACCTTTGCTGTGTTAAGCCACTGAAATTTCCAGGTGAAGCTGTTATTGCCTTACTACAGCACAGCATGGCCTATCCTGAATATCAGATCTGCAGTCATTCAATCAAAGGGTATTTCTTAAACAAATACTATATGCCCTCTGCTATGGCAACAATTGTGGTAAGTACCAGAGAATGTGACACAATCCCTACTCTCAGAGAGTTTACAATTGTGTTTCAGAGACAAGACTAGCATATATTAATAATATAATACAGGAAGAAAGCAAATTACAGGGACATTTTATAATTCTTAAATGATATGGTGCAAGTTCTGAGAGAGCAACAGGAATTTAGACAGAAAGATTTCAAAGAGATGGGGCTTTCGTGCAAGGGCAGCTCCTATTGTACAGGCTAGAAAGACACAGACAGGCCTCTGGGAAATGTGTTGCTGAAGCTCTAAACATTTTTTTTTTTTTTTTGACGGAGTCTCACCCTGTCACCAGGCTGGAGTTCAGTGGTGTAATCTTGGCTCACTGCAATCTCCACCTCCTGGGTTCAAGCTATTCTCTTGCCTCAGCCTCCAGAGTAGCTGGGACTACAGGCACCCACCACCACGCCCAGCTAATTTTTGTATTTTTAGTAGAGACGGGGTTTCACCATGTTGGCCAGGATGGTCTCCATCTCCTGACCACATGATCTGCTCTCCTCGGCCTCCCAAAGTGCTGGGATTACAGGCGTGAGCCACCACACCCGGTCAAAACTTCTTAAACTACTTGCAGAGGGACTGTATTTCCTTATTCAACATCTTTCTTTTGATCAGAAAAAAAAAGTATATATAGTGTAACTTATATATAAGTAAGTATATATATAAAAATATATAAGTAACATATGTATAAGTATATATAGTGTAACATAATAATCTTATAATTATTTATAATTTTGGTTGATTTTATTTTATCTTATTTCAGTATTAAATTTAATTTTATTATAAAGTTAATAGATGATTTCAAAACTCCAAACATAACAGGAAAAGGTAAATTGAGTTGTCTCTTCACAAATAATGACTTGCTAACAGATTTTTTTCCAGATGCATTTCTAGGCTTGAATACATGCACACTGCAGGGGTCAAGGGGGCCACGAGTGGCATTGCCCTTGGACCTCTGAAGGTTCACTGAAAACTCAACTTGTAAAAGGCAGATTATTTATCTAATATGTATTCACAAGGAGCCTTCAGAATGAAAACCCAAAGACACAGGGGAAACTGTCTATTTTTATGCATAGATTCAACAAAGTATGAACAGCTGTGTAGAAATATGACTGGACAATAAGGTTAAGCTCTAATGCTAATAGACTCACAGGGGAAACCCAGCAAGGCCTGTCTGTTCAGATTATCCTTGGTCTCTCTGTGCAGCATTCCATCCTCCAGGGTAAGAGGACCTTTCCTGGAATGAGGGTCTTATAACCTACAGTCAGGTTAGAGTCCTGCCTTGGGCAGGTGAAAGGAAGGCAGGAAAAGGTCAGAGAGAAAGATTCTGCTTTCTGAGATCTGCTCCTGAGGCCTAAAGCACTCCAATATTATAACAAAAGACTCTAGCAAGGGCTGCGGGAGTTATGAGCCAGGAACCATATTAACATGTAATAATCACAATGACCACAGAGGCTTCTGAATATGAACACACAGGAATAATTCATAAAAAGTCTTTTCACTTTTAAAGTTCTCTTTACACAGATAAGTGCCTTTTTCTCAACCATGGGATATCAGTTAGCTAGAAATGTTTTTATATTTAAGAACTAGGACCCTGAAAAGCCTAATGGTAACTTTAGACATTCTTTTAGAACTAGAGAATCCAAAAGGACTACACTAAAACCCTTGGTACAGCAGTCTTCATCATCACATTGTACGAAAATCTATTACCATAACCACAATCACTGGTCAATACAAAAATACAAAATTTTTTCCCCTTTTTTTTTTTTTTTTTTTTGGAGAAGGAGTCTCACTCTGTCAACTAGGCTGGAATGCAATAGCACCACCTCAGCTCACTGCAACGTCTGCCTTCCAGGTTCAAGGGATTCTCCTTCCTCAGCCTTCTGAGTAGCTGGGATTACAGGCACCTGCCACAATGCCTGGCTAATTTTTGTATTTTTAGTAGAGACAGGGTTTCTCCATGTTGGCCACGCTGCTCATGAACTCCTGACTTCAGGTGATCCACTCACCTCTACCTCTCAAAGTGCTGGGATTACAGGCGTGAGCCACCGCATCCAGCCAAAATTTTCTTTGAGAAACATGTAACTGGTCAAACAGATCAATAACTAGTAGGCCAGAAGTCTAGGAACACAGGACCTATGTTTTAAGACTGCAAAGTTTACCAAAACAAGTCAGCAAAGCCAGTGGACTTGTAAGTGGAAACACTGATTTCAGGAAGGCAATTTGGCAAGACTTAAATTGCCCACACCCTTAACTGACCTTTTAATTAAATCCCTGGGATTAGCACAAAAATATCTTATACATAGGAAAATAAAACTCTGAAACCTTGATGGCCTGCAATGTTTATTCCAACTCTGTAAGAGCTAACACATACACATACATATACTTACAATGAAAACCCTACAAATATCAGACGATATAATCAATGGGATTTTTATTCAGTTATTGGCATGATATTCACAAAATTAACTATTTACAATGCAATTTTAATTGAAAAAATATATAAAATTACCATTTAAAACTTCATAGTAAAAAATATATAAAAAGGGGTGATGGACTTACGGGTGTTTTCCCCATTTTTTAGTATAAAATGTTTGTTTACTAATAAATAATTTTTAAAGGACATTTAAAAAGCATTTGTATGATCATGAAGAGTGTTTATGTTTAATATCGAGTAAAATGCCATGTAGAGAATTAAGAAAATTATCCATGATCCCAGATACATGAAAAAGAAGAGGGAGGAGGAGGAGGAAGAGAAAGAAGAAGAACAGGAAGAGGAGGGGGATGAGGAGGAAGAAAAACAAATACAAAAAATAACAAATGTTTGCCAAGTTTATCTTCTTTGGAGAGTTTTGTATAGTTAGAAACTAAAGGTAATTTTTTCAAGCTTTTCCTACTTTTCTCTTGTCCAACATTCTAAATCAATGGGAATGTT